TCTGCCAAGCTTGTGCTCACATGTTTTCATTCTATTATTCCCATTTTTAAACCAAATAAAGATGTGATTATTTTCGGGTCACGAAACGTTTTCCCTCATTGGAAAAGCGATGATGGGTCCCTGACTCACTGGGCCAACAGGAAACTTCTCCTGAATCAGGAGAGACAGAAAAGGAAGGCCTCCGTTCTCATCCTCCTCTGGCATATTTTTTGAGGCTGCATTTTCACTCCCCACTTCCCCTTTCGGTTTTCCAAACTTTCCTTGCAACAAAGTCTTGGCTAGATCTTGGATCAACAGCTACTGAGTTTAATTTATTTGCTCTTGCACCTGAATGTACTCCCTGAGGAGTTTATCCCACCCCCACCCCCGCAGGGGTTGCAGTGACCCTGTGGTCTCTGCCTTCAAAGATTCTATAATCTTGTTGGGAAGACAAGTGAGAAGAGGGAAACAGAGGAGGAAGAAAAAGAGAAGGAGGAAAAGAAGGAGGAGGGAGAGGAAAAGGAGGAGGGAGAGAGAGAGAGAGAGAGAGAGAGAGAGAGAGAGAGAGAGAGAGAGAGAGAGAGAGAGAGAGTTTCATGTTTCATATGAAACATGAAATCCTACAATAAATAAATATAGAAAGGAGCTATGTGATTCAGCGACGAGAAGCAGGAGACAGCACGGTCTCTGCTATACGTTCACCTGGCACTCCTGTGCTCTGACTTTTCAGGAGTCTGTCTCTCGAGGGTAACAAAAAAGCTCCAGGGGCTAGATGCTGCATCCCGTCTCTCATTTGGGTTCGTAGGAAAGAAAGAGGTTCCAGGTTCCAGTATTTCTCCCATACCCGGCCTGTACAAACTATTTCTCTTTTCCCAGGCCTCTGCCCACAGGTTCCCCCACCCGTTTGAACTGGAAACTGTCGGAGTGAAGTTGGTCAGACTACACTGCTGTTCCAGAGTATGTGGAGCGCCTAGATCCCGCAAGCATGAGGCTGACGCGGCCCTGGAGAATAGAAATCCATCGCTATTCCAGGTTGAGTCCTTAGAAGCCCGGGAGACTTTGGACAGTCCCTGGGGATCCTAGTCAGGGGGCAACAATTGTGTCACAGTCATTCCGAGCTGGCTGGTTCTTCAGCGCTACTTTTGTTTTAGTTTGTTTTGAGTTGGGTTTTGCTGTTGTTCTTTTGTTTGTTTGATTGATTTTGTTTTTTCATTCAGAGCTTCCGCGCTCCTAGTGCTGCGGTGTGGTTATCTTACTCCCTCTCAGACCCGTTTGCTGCAGCTCTTTTAGTTTTCCTAATCCTTCAGCACACAAAGGCAGGGCGGAGAGACAAGCAAGGAATCCAGGCTGACTTTTCTCTCTTCTTGGGATTTTTTTTGTTTTGCTTTGTTTTATTATTGTCGTTATTATTATTGTGTCCAGGGAGCAGATGGAAAGGACATATTGGTACTTTAAACAGCAATACCAAAATGTTTCTGAACTGCTTAGGTCAAGAAGTTTGGTGAATAGGGCTAGGAATGGCCAGTCACATTGAGTAGTCACGAATTTCTTTGCTCCTGATCTCCAAAATAATCTGTAGTAATAGCATTCACATTGTTAAGAGCAGTTCTTCTAAGAAGCAGAGAGGCATAGTGGATAGAGAGCCGAACTCAGAGCCAAGGAAAGCCTGTTGTGTTCCAGGTTCAGCACTCCAAGGTCTGGCAGACCACTTCAGCGTTGGGGCAGGAGACCACAGCCAAGTGTGGGAGGGCTGTCTAGCAGAAGAGGACTTGGGCCTACTGAATAGCTTCGATCATAACTTCGAGAATAACTTTCAAGAAAGGAAGTGGAAGCACCCAACTAAATGGGCATTTGACCTGGAAGACATTTGAGCTGTCACTTCCTCAAGTGTGGACATTGGTCTTTGAGGGCACCCAAGGGATGTCATCAGGATACCTCCTCCTGGGGAAATGTATGCCTAGGGGTATTGCCTGGTGTTTCAACTGATCATTTTAGACTGAGAATTTCAGAGTGGGAAGGGAATCTTAAAGGTCACCTACTCCAATCCGCTGAATTTATGGATGAGTAAACTGAGGCCCAGAGACAGTAAGTGACTTGACCATGGTCTCACTGCTAAATCTGTACTTACTAGAATTCCCAGGCCAGTGGGTTCCCCCTTATTACCACCCTGTCTTTATAGTTCTGGGCTAGCCCCAGACTGTAAAGAACAGCTCAGGTCCATGTGAGAGATCCTGAGGTCCACATGTGCTCAGAGGATTCAAATGACCGCTGAAAGACAAGCCTTTGAGTTTGAGGCCTCGGCAAACTCTGGGCCCCTCCTGCGGTCAGCATCATCAGGGCCTCTGGTTGCTGGTGAGACATACCTGCCATGATCAGACTAGGAAAACAAGCCAGGCCAGGAAAGAAATGCTCAGCCAGTTCTGTAGTAGCAAGATCTGATGGTCTCCACTCAGAGCTGGTTGGGTTTTGCTAAGATCTGCACCCCTTCTCTGGGCCTCTGTGACCTTTGGCAAATGAAATCTCTAGGAATGCAGACTGACCGTCAGGGCATCTAGGTGCATTTGGAGGTAGGGATTAGTATGCTAGCTAGGTGGGCTACACTCAGATTACCATAGAGAAACGAAATCCATGTGGGTTCTTGCTCTTGGTGGCCGTGGTGTGTGTATATTTGCTGGGGAAAGGGGGAGACGCTGTCTCTAGAGCAGACCAGGCTAGTCTCCAAGTATCCCTAGATTTCCCAGGAGTTTGGTTATTGAAACTGCCCCCTTCCCCAGAAATGGGCAAAGAAAGCTGGTCACCCTAAGTCCTTGGTAAACGGCTGCTTATCTCAGTGAAGGTAGTCTGCCCCTGGCTCTGGTCTCCATACCACTGGGCCGGGACCTACCGGGGCACGAAGAGGAGTGTATAGAACCCTAAGCTTCGTTCCAGAGCCCGGCCTGACACCTGGCCGCCCTCGTGGACTGGTCAGTAGTGCTGTAAGCAACTGGGAAAGCAGTCTAGGGCGCTAGTAGTTCTTCGATCCCCCTCTTCTCTCTCCCTGCCCACCCCGCCCCCCCTCCGCCCTTACCACCGCGCCCCACTGCAGCTGGGAAGAAAGCCGAAAAACGGAAGTGCAGGAAAGATTGGACTAGGAAAGTACTTCGGGATCCTCAAAGCGCTATCTAAAAGTCATCTTTTATCATTCTCTATCGAGGAATAAAGGATACTCCCACTCCTCTCCTGCACCTCTTTAGGTCTCCAAGCGGTCTAGCTTCCCCAGGCCTGGTCTGCTTACTCAGAGGCCGCAGAGGAACATTTCCGCTCAACTCTAGTCCTTGCGCCTCGCCCGCCTCGCCCGCCTCGCCCGCCTCGCCCGAAAACCAAAATGAAACAAGGGAGCCCTAGGGAATCAGGTGAAATTGGGAGGTGTTGAGGGCACCTTCCCGTAGGCCCAACTGAAGGAAGTACAGGCAGATTTCCCAATCCTCTCTCCCAAAATATTCTGGCGTCGCAGCACTAATGTTTCCGCATTAGCTAGCAGGTCCCCTCCCCACCCAAATACCGCCAGCAATTGCCAAGTCTCCAGCTGAGACTGGTAGAGACAGAGAAGGTGCCCCCTCCCTTTCCCCTTCTCCTTCGCCTCCCTTTCCCCTGCCACTTCCTCCTCCCTCAGGCTCAGTTCCATGCCCAAAGCTATCCATCCCCCTTCCCCAACACTCACCACCACAACCGTCTCCCCCGGCCCTGTAACCCACCAGGGAAACTGCAGCAGTTTCTCCTGCTTTGGCTCCGGCTCCGGCTCCAGGGACCCAGACCCTTCAGCAGGACCGCTTCTCTGCTCTCCAAGGGGGCCGACAGAGGAACCGGACCAGGGGCTCGCTCCCCTCGGATTCTCCAGTCGGGGATCTTGAGGCCAGGTCCAGGGCACCATTTCACCGACTAAAGTCCTCAGGTAATGTGCCGGGTCAGACCCGGGGCCAGAGCCGGAGCTATTCATATCACCGCCACCCTAAGCGTAGAACCTTCCCTCGCCCTTTCCAGTCTGGACACCTCACAGGCACAGGTACAGAAAACATAACCAATTAGCTCGTACCTGCGACCTCCCCGACGGACTGCAGAAGTTAACCGGGAGAGATACAACAAGAAAAATCTAACCCTTGGACTCCGGAGTAGGGTAGAAAGGAGTCGAGGATTGAGGTGCCTGACCACGCAGCACTGAGAGACCACCAGACCTGAGGGGGGTGGGTGGGGGCCGGGAGGAAAAGAGGGAGAGAGACGTGAGACGAAGGAAGAAACCAAGAAGTGGATTCACTCGGCTCTGCGTTCCTTTTGCAGACAAATGATCTCACCCTGTGGTCCCCACTCTACTCCCTCCTCAAACCTGGAGCAGGACAAATCTGGAGGCCTGAGGCTGAGCTTAAGAGGGAATATTTATTTACTGTTCCCCTCCTCCAAGTCCTAGCAAAAAAGCAACGAAAGGGGGCTGGGGGAGGGGGAGCCTCGCCACGGCAGCAGCCTCAAGCCCTGGGGAGATGTTGTGTCCCCAGCGAGTGGCGGTCGCTCGGGGAGACCGCCCAGGGGCCGGAAGGCGGCTTGGGGACTGGGTGATGCTGCAGCACCGCCCCCTGCGCTGAGACAGGGGCCGAATTGCCTCCCTCCCCTCGCTCCCCACCCTCGTTCTGTCTCCCTTTCCTTTCCTTTCCTCACTCCCTATCCCTTTAACAATCCCTCCCACCCCCGCCGCCGCCTCCCTCATCTTCTTTCTTTTTTCTCCCCTCCCCTTTTCTCCACCTCGTTCCCTCCCCTTTGCTCCGCCTCCCCCACAACTCTCTTCCCCCTACTTCTCCTCCCCCGCCTTTCCCCCACCTAGTGCCCCTCTCGCCTTCCCTCCCTCCCCCTTCTCTATGGGTATCCATCCCGTCAATCACCGCTGAAGTTTTTCTCTCCCTGATCCCTTGTCTTCATTTTTCTCTCTCACTCTTTCTAAAGTGTGTGTGTGTGTGTGTGTGTGTGTGTGTGTCTGTCTGTCTGTCTGTCTGTATTTCTGTCTGTCTTGTCTGTCTGTCTCCGAGTTCCCCAGTCTCTGGCTCTGGCTCTGGTCTCTGACCGCCTCTCTGCCTAGAGCAGAGCAGGGCAATCCGTCAGCGCAGCCAGGGGGGAGCCGCCTCGCCCCGGCTCGGGTTACCGGTGACTGACAGCGTCTCCATGGCGAATAATTTGACTCCAACTATTGTCTGGCGCAGGCAGGCCCCGGGTCAGATAACCGGACCAATCAGGGCGCGGGCCGCCGCAGCTCATGCCCGCTTAGAATAATATTATTAAAAAAGCAGCGAGAGAACTAGACGGGAGAGCGAGAGAGGCGCTGGCGGCGGGACCTCGCCGGGCGGCGGAGTATGCAGAGGAACGTCCCGGGCCGGGCTGCGAGGAGCCGAGACGAGGGCACCGGCTGCTGGGGAGCCAGAGACAAAAACAAGCTCGGGGGACATCGCGGGGCCCCGGCCCCTTGCAAGGACTTACCAAAGTGACTTGGGAACTTCTTTTGTGCAGCCACCCCCCTCCCCTGTTAACTCCCAACCCCCGTTATTTTTTCCGACTGCTTCTGTTGGGCCCATCTTTCTTGGCTGCCTCGAAAGCTCAGCCGGCGCCCCAGATGCAGGGCGGCGCAGCCCTGTGAGCACCCTGGGGCCGCGGCGGGGGGTCGGAGCCGCAAGTCCAGGCCGAGAAGGTTTCAGGGGGTGGGGCCAGGCCCGGGCCGCAGCCCCGGATGGTGAACAGGGCCCCGGGGTGGCCGGCACCATGTCCATGCTGCCCACGTTCGGCTTCACGCAGGAGCAAGTGGCGTGCGTCTGCGAGGTGCTGCAGCAGGGAGGCAACATCGAGCGGCTGGGCCGTTTCCTCTGGTCTCTCCCGGCCTGCGAGCACCTCCACAAGAACGAGAGCGTGCTCAAGGCCAAGGCCGTAGTCGCTTTCCACCGAGGTAACTTCCGCGAGCTCTACAAGATCCTGGAGAGCCACCAGTTCTCGCCTCACAACCACCCCAAGCTGCAACAGCTCTGGCTCAAGGCACACTATATCGAAGCGGAGAAGCTGCGCGGCCGGCCTCTGGGCGCCGTGGGCAAGTACCGAGTGCGGCGCAAGTTCCCACTGCCCCGCTCCATCTGGGACGGCGAGGAGACCAGCTACTGCTTCAAGGAGAAGAGCCGCAGCGTGCTGCGGGAGTGGTACGCGCACAACCCCTATCCGTCCCCACGGGAGAAGCGAGAGCTGGCGGAGGCCACGGGCCTTACCACCACACAGGTCAGCAACTGGTTCAAGAACCGGAGGCAGCGGGATCGGGCGGCGGAGGCGAAGGAAAGGTACGAGTAAGTACAGCTTTTTCACCTTCCCCTCGCGCTTTCCGACGAGGGATCCCCCTGACGCTTTCTACCCAGCGGGAGGCCCGGGTTGGGGAGAAAAAGACTCGTGAGCCCTGCGCTTCCACCCCCCCATTCCCACCCCCCCAACTCCCCAGGGCCGGATTAAGCTAGGAACCTACACACAGCTAAGGATAATAGAGACCAAGATAGATAATAGAGACCCTTTGGTCTGGATTATCTGAGTAGCAAAGGGACCTCAGGGAAATGATCGAATACCGTAGCTCATTCAGAAACGAAAAGGAGACTGGGATTTGAACCCTAGGCCTAGGAACAGAATGTTTTGGTCAGAATCTTCCTTGTGAATGAGGCCCTTATAGAATGATAGAAGAAATGAGAGAGTTATGGTCATAACTGAATGGATTTGGAATTAGGGGTTGAGTTTAGGCTCTCTAGGTTAGCTGATTGAATTTCAGGAGTGACTCCTCTTACTCGCTCCTACAGAAACACATCCATAGGTAAGAGGAAGTTTGAAGACCAAATTATTGTGCGTTGAGATCTGGTATCTCAGTCACTCATATATTGAGGAAGGAAAAGAGGGAAGCAAGGATGAACCCTGTTTCTCTGTCTCTCTGTCTCTCTCTCTCTCTCTCTCTCTCTCTCTCTCTCTCTCTCTTTCTCTCAACATATATATGTGTGTATGTATATGTAAATGTGTATGTGTATATTATATATTTATATATACACATATATATATACATACTTGTGTGTGTGTGTCCCTATTGGAAGTTATTCCTAAAGGGGAGGAGAAGTTGGAAGGAGGGAAGACCCCATGTTACCTTGGTACAGATGTCACAGGACTCAGAGGTCTTTAGCAGAAGGGCCTGTCCTAAGGGAAAGTAGAAGTTTCGCAGCTAACTGGGCCTGAATGCCCCATTGGCATGGTAATGCTATTGAATTTGGGCAGTCTTTCCTCCCTGGCCCTAGCCTGTTCTCTAGTTGGGCCCCACTAACGATAGTAGGTAGGACAGTCTGTTGGTGAAGTAGGCTGAAAAGGTCACTGAAGAGGGATCCCAGGTCTAGATGTATGTCAGGTCCTTCCTAGAGTACCAAGGACTGGATACTTTGAACCAGACCAAGACTGAGCATCCTGGATACTCCACAGGGTCTTGTGTCCACTATTCTTAACAGAAAGGAGAAAAAGACATTCAGAGTATGAGGTGATGAAGGAAGGGCATAAACCCAGAGTTTAGATGGCAGAAGGGGTGCAATGTTAAGTTGATAGAAAGAGAGCATAAATAATTAAAGTAAGGCTAACAGGGAACTACAGGATAGCAAAGGTGATGGAGGGAGCTGAAGTCAAAGGTGTGGAAGTAAACAATAGTGTCAAGTCCCTAGGATAAATATAAAGAATCAAATACACAGGATCAGGAACTTTGGAACGGACAGGCAATTTTTCTTTGGACCAAGCTACCTTTCTTTATTTATTTTCCCTCAGAAAAGCAGTCTCCACATGGGAAGAGAACATGGGTTAAAAAGGACATAAAGTTCCAGGTAATAGAGGGACTTCAGGCTATTAGGGAGGCTCAGGCACTGGGTCATGGCAACCTGGAGAAACAGAGTCAGTGAGCTAAAAGGAAACATCCATGGCAAGCCAGAACTCAGCTGAGAAGCTAAGTGTGTCTTTAGGCCCTGGAATCGGGAGGTGGAAGGGGGAGCTTTGGTTCACAACTTTTTGCCTGTGTCCTCTGTCTGATCAGAAGCCACTCAGCTTCAGATCAAATGGGCTTTTCACATTGCTGGGCCTCACTCTAACAGATGTCACACTTTTCTGTTCTGGAGTTCTCTCTGCATTGGAAGCTCTTGAGAGTGGAAGAGGGCCTGGTGGGGATCCAAAAATGTATTAATATACCAGGGTCTTAATGAGATCAGAAATGTGGGCCCCACCATGGAAATACAAGATATACCCCACCCCACAGTTCTTCTCTATTAGTCCTGTACACTCCTAAATTTGTGATTACCAATGGTTGGTACATTACAATTACAACTCTAATCACTTTGGGGTTTTGGTAGAATGTACACATGGAAAATGGGTGGCTTATTACCCCAAATAGCAGGCTAATAATCACCAGGAGAAATAGTTTTCCTAATTCCCCCAGATCTCCCCAGAGACATTGTTCCCAAAACTAAAGGCTCCAAGGACAGAGATGGCCAGGCCAGAGTCTCTTTCTGGGGAACCTCAGTCCTCCCAAAATGAAAGAAAAAGGGACCCTAGGGGAATGACTCCCAGATTTGTCTGTCCATGGGGTAAAGCCCATGTTATAGATTCACAGGCCACGGATTCAGGATAGTCTCGGGGCATAGCAGCATCGAAGGAACCTGGGAGGCTCCCTTTGTGGAGTTCAGCAGTTCCAACCCAGATCTTTGTTCTTGCCTAGACCACTTCAACTCTCTTCGAGGTAGGACTTTCTGGATTTCTGGAGCCTGAAGAGTCTGATACCTGGCCTCTTGTTGCAAGACCTTCCCTAGAGTTCTCCCCTTGGGCCTAAGGGAAATCAGAGAGGAATTAATTAAGCTAATTGCTGACTAATCTGTCAAGGCCTAAAGGCCTGTTGGGTGGCCTGTAATCTGTCACCCAGAAGGAGACCAGGTAACAGAGATATACAGGGAAAAGAGAAAAAGGAGAACTGAGTTAAATTCCAGAGCTTCAAGTAAGACTCATGAAAGAGGTCTGAAGGGGAAGCCTCAGAAGGCATCCTGGTAGGCAGCCCGTGCTCAGGGCCTTGTTAGTCTGGGCAAGGAGGTCAGGTTTGCCTGGTGCTCCTGGCAGATCTTGGCCTGCACCCAGCCTGTCCTAGCTCTGTGAAAAGGATAATCCCGGTCACAGCCCTAAGCCACTCTAATGTGGGCCAGTCTCAGGGCTTCTAAAAAATTCCTCATTCCCAATTTCTATGTGAGTATTAACTACTGGAGGGAGTCCTTGCTCCCAGGGAACTACATTCTTAGTCAGAAAGGAACTTAGATTCCCTCTTTCCCCTTTCCTTCCAGCCTAAGGGAAGGAAAGAGAGAGGCAGGAGGGTTAGAAAGGTCCAGGAGAGCCTTCCCCCGAAAGCCTTAAAGAAAATGTGGCCCAGGTTTGGTACATGGGTGTGGAAAGGAAACCAAGGTCTGGTACCCAGCTCTGGGTGGCAGGAAGCACCCAAGGCCCACTGAGCCTGCTAGTCAGCTGCCTTGGCCATCAGGATGGGGTGGGGGGGCTCTAGACATCTTAGAGAGTCAGATGGGGGAGAGACACAGAAGAGCACCAGCAGAGACATGGGAGAGAGATTGGAGCAATACCCCAGAAAACACTATCAGGACGAAAGGCCATGCAGTGGGAATGTATTGAGAGGCCAAAGCTCTTGGTTCCAGTCACAATTTTCCAGGGACTGGATTGTAAAGAACTCCTTCAAATTATTCTCCACTCTGTTCTCCACCTCCCCCACCACCACCGCCCACTTCTCTTCTCCCCGTCTTGCAGGGAAAACAACGAAAACTCCAACTCCAACAGCCACAATCCACTTGCCACATCCCTGAACGGCGGCGGCAAGTCTGTGCTGGGCAGTTCGGAAGACGAGAAGACGCCGTCGGGGACCCCGGACCATTCTTCCTCCAGTCCCGCGCTGCTGCTGAGCCCGCCGCCGCCGGGCCTGCCGCCACTCCACAGCCTGGGCCATCCGCAAGGCCCCAGCGCTATCCCAGTCCCCAGCGGTGACCCCCTGCAACATCACCACGGCCTGCAGGACTCCATCCTCAACCCCATGTCTGCCAACCTGGTGGACCTGGGCTCTTAGAGACACTCACTGCAGTCTGGTCTGGCTCCTTCCCTGTCCGCTCTGCTCAGGCCCCACCTTTCTCCATGTCCAAGCCCTCTCATCCTCTGCCCGCCCTTCCTTTTGATTCCAAAAAGTTTTATTAGATTGGCAACTGTATTTTTGAAATGAAAGAAGGCAAAATGATGAGAAGAAGCCTCTCTGTCAGCTGAGGGCCGTGGGCTGTGTAGCAGGTACTGGAGAAGGTACTGTAAAGACTCTGGACAGTAGTGGGATAACGTCTTAAAGGGGTCGGGCCAGGGCCAAGTGAGGCCGGGAGCTGGGTGCTCAGCGCCAGAGGAAGAGGAGATGATCGTCTTTATTTTTGTTGTTGTTGTTATTGTTTTATCCAAGTGGGTTTTTTTTCCAAATCTTTAGGGCCTGTTTCTTAAACTCGGGATGGGAATAAATTCTGGTCCTGGTACCAGCAGTTTCGTTTCCTTGCCTGGACTTTAACCATTTCCAGGCTACCTCCAGAAGACTCGACCTCTCTCTCTCTCTCTCTCTCTCTCTCTCTCTCTCTCTCTCTCTCTCTCTCTCTCTCTCTCTCTCTCTCACCACCTCGCCCTCTTTCTCTGCCTCTCTTCACTTTCTTCCACCTTTCTTTTTTGTTCTCGTTTTTTCTAAAACTCTGTCTCTTCTGACTGTTCGTACCCTCCGAGTGTGTGTCTTTTTTCTTCCACCTCTCACACTCTCCATTAGCATGACGACCAGTCTTTATATTTCTGTCTGTCCCTCTGCCTGGCTCCCTCTGTCTCTCTGATTCCCCAAGTTATCTAAGTATTTTCCTGCTTCAGGAAGAAGACACAAGGCCCCGGGGGCTGAGGGGCAGTTGATTCTAAGACAAAAGCCTCGCCGGGGCGGGAGAGGTTCTCTTCTAGCTGCAGGTGTAAGATTTTCGTTTTAACCTTGAAGTGGGATAAGGAAATCAAGCCTGATATAAATGGCCTCGGGGATTTATCTCCCGCCTTCTGGCTCCTGGACTGGACCTACCTAACTTCCCAGCTGCACCGACTGGGGTTGGGAGGGGCAGCACGCTTTTAGAGGGAGAAATTGAACCAAAAAAAAAAAAAGGCTCCCAATCCCATAATCCAAAACCCCCACTGTGACCCGTCCGAGTTTCTCTCTCCCTGTTTATACCCTTATGAGAATGTTCTTCGGAAAATATTTCTGCTTTTATTTTATAATAAAATTAGAAATCTTAAAAAAAAAAATCCAAACGAACCCACAACGCAATCCAACCGGCCTGTGTGCAGTGTCTAATTCCCAGCCAGCAACTATAGTGTAACACCCCTCACTCTACCCCGACACCGCTGCAGCTCCCGCCGAACGGGGGCGTAGAGGGACAGAGCCATCGACGAAGAGGGGAAGGGAAAGGAGGCTCCGGTCGCGCACACCCAATGTCACAGATCTAGTGTCACACACAAGCCCTGTTCCAGGCCGGCTCTGCTGGGCATATTCTCCTCCCAGTGTAGATTCCAGAGGACAGGACAGAGAGCAAAATTGTGAGATGCAGGGAGCGGAGCAAGCATGGTCTGTGATTGTGGCTAGGTAACCTAGGGCTTGAGGCTGGAATGAGTAGCCCCAGGAAGAGGTCGGAGAACAAATTGTCCACCTCTTCTCCCTGTCCCCTTATCGTGTGTTTTCGCTAATGTGCTTGTGTTTGGTGGGTATGGGGTAGGGGTTCTCTCTGTCTCTCTGTGTGTCTCTTTCTATGTCTACCTCCCTTCTCTCTCTCTCTCTGTCTCTCCCTTTCTCTAGTCCGGTACAGAGGGGAAGTTAATTGCCACCACACCTCTCTATGCCAATTCTTCTGCTGTTTTCCACTGGCAGTGAGTGGCAGCTACTCCCCCCCCCCCGAGGAATAGGAAGATCCAACTTCCAGAATACGTCAGAGGGTGAACTCGGCGCCCTCGAAATAGAAAGTGAGGGCTCAGGGACGCGACAAGTGGCGACAATTGGTGAGATCTCCAAGGGTCAGGTATCTCTCTTGTCTGAAGCATAGTATAGATTTGAATTTTGGATTTGTAGTCAGAGGTGCTGGATTCCAGGCCCTCGTCTTCCAGGGCTTACTACCAGGCTATCTGGGGCAGCTCAGTTTGCTCATCCGAAAATGAGGCAGTCGAATTAGATGCTCTACCACGACCCCCTCCCTAGCTCTAAATCCTAGGGCAGTAAGAGATTTCGTGAAGGTAAAGGAGTTTTCGAGTGTATGAAAGAAACGAAGATTGGCCGAATGTTTCTGTGTGCGTATGACTACCTTGTTGTGTTCGTGTGCGTTGGGGGCGGGGTGATGGTGGTGAAGAGAAATCTGTGTTTGTGTGCGTTTGTGACAAGATCTCACATCCGTGCGCCCTGCCCCCAAAGACTATCATCAATTTGCATGGTAGACCTCCTTACAACCATCCTCCCTCCAGCAGTCCCCTCCCCCTCTAGCGGCCCTTTGGAGCATATTTGTGCAAAAATTTGAAGGTTTTTTCCCTTTGAGTCCCTAATGTTGTATGGTGTGAACAATTTGCCTTAATAATGGGAAGTTTGGGGAGTGGGGATTAATGATCATAGGACACGTTTTGTTCCTCATTAATTATCATTTCTAGCAGAGAAAGCTGTCAGGTACTGTGGAAAGGGCATTGGACTGAGTAGGAAAGTTCTAGTCTCTGCTCAGCAGTGCCTGTGCGATCTTAGACAAATCACTTCCTTTCTCTGGGCCTCGGGCTTTGGACTAGATGACCTCCAAGATCCCTTCCACCAGCACTACTCTAGGATTTAGGATGACTTAGACATTTGACTCCCGTACTGTTTCCTCGGGTTATCTGCAATCAATCTAGAAGCATTATACTAATCGACCGCTACTCGCCAGGCACCGTGCTGGATCCTAGTAGGTGGAATGATTATACATCCCCAAACTTAGCACGGTCGTAGATACTGTTTCATAATTCTTTGCATTATGTAACAAATGGTAACCTCCAGCACTATGAGGTATACATATGTGTAGCTTATGATATATTAGATCTTAAATAAGAAAGATTCGGTATTCTATATAATGTGTTGATATCACTGGCTATGTTACCAGGAGGTTGATACAATTATGGGATTAAGAGACAAGTCCTTGGGTTTGGAGCTAAATTCTTAAGACTAGAATAAGTTCACAAACCAGCAGCCGCTTTGGGTTTCTAGGAGGACCAGGCACTAACGAGTCCCAGGTTTAGAAAGCGCTGCTTCTACGGTGAAGCTTGCGACGGAGAGTAGCAGGTAAAGTGAAATGGGGCAGCGTACTTCCAAGGGACAAGAATGGAAATTTCTCTGCTGCCTGTCTTTTAAGGTCAATGGTACTGATATGAATCTAGCCAGAGGTAGGGACTACCATTCCCCCTTTCCCGTGCTCCACAGAGCAACGCGAGATGGGAAGATAAGGATGACCTACATCGACAGCCTACAAGAGAGCAGAGGCAGAAGCAGCTACGGTGGGCGTGGGGGGAAGTGAGGATGAGGATCTCCCAAGGAAAGGAAAAAGCACAAATGTCTTGTGGAAGGCTCAGGGGCCTTGGGGCAACCTGGAACGACTGGCACCCCGGCAGAGCCTGCTTTCTCGGGGATGAAGTTCCCAGAGAAGCGGGACCGGGCGGGCCAGCATCGAGGACTTTCTTAGCTAGCCGTATACCCGAGAACCTAAACCCATTCCCCTTCACCTCCTTACACACATGTACAAACACAGGCATACACATACACATACACACACTCACCCGCAGCTACCGAGACACACTCGCACGTGTTCCCGAAGGCATTCGTATTTCCCTACACAGGTCCGCACACTCCCACAGATACAAACACACATTAGCAGCCCCCTCCCCCCACTCCCCACCACGCACAGGCCCCGACACAACAGTGAGTGCAGACCACGCCCTGCAGCCGTATCTAATTGAGAGGTTTTGCACAGTTTCCTGAGAATCGTAACGCTCTTTCTGTTTCCAGGACGCGCTGTACCTGCCAGCGCTCCCTGCCGAGGCATGGACTGGCTGGCCTGCTTTGGCGCCCTGCGCGGGCCAGTCTAGTTCACCCTGGAGGAGTTCACGAGTCCTAGCTACCTTGCCACCTCAGCTCTGTGTCTGTCCCCTTCGCCACCCCTCCTCAGCACCTGCCTGGATTAGGGAGCCCTAGACAGCTGTGCTTTAACCCTGGGGGCGGGGTTCTTATCCTTGCGGGATTTCTTCAGTTAAAGAAGGGAATTTAGAGGATGTGTGTGTGTGTATGTGTGTGTGTGTGTTGTGTATACATACATACATATATTATATATATACATATATATGTATATATATGTATATATATATATATATATATATATAATGCCCTTCTCCCTCCTTATCCTTAGTAATCATCCCGAAAGTGTCTTTCTTTAGAGACAAAAGAAACCATCTCCTACAGTGTCTTTCTCCAAAGTTTAGAGAGGAGAGGGTCACACAAAGCGACTACACCAGAGACAGAGATAAAGAACATTGAAACTATCACTTAATGTATTTGATACTGCATGTAACATATGCATAAGCTTTACACCCGTCTGCTCACTGGTGGCATTAAATCAGGGCTTTGATTGTGCATCAGAGCAACATCGTCGTTCTGTCCCTGGCAAGTGGCTACTAGCAAGGATGTGATAATGTGCTTTAATATGATAATAATTTTCCTTTACCGCTACATGATTCGATGCTACACGACCGTCATTCTCCTCATTCGTGTACGCATTCTTTCGGTATAACCTTTCAATGTGTACATAGTTTCACTACACTGTACAAAAATAAACTCAGACGGGTTTCAGGCTCCCTCGAGGTCCCAGTTCTGTATAAGAAGGGAGAAAGGTTAACCGACGGGACTTAGTGTGCATTCAGTAGTTGTTTCAGAAGCCGGGATTGCCTCAGTGATGCTCAGAAAAGTCTCTTGCCTCCAGCGTCATGGGAGAAGTGAAGACTTCTCAACTCTTAGATCTGGAAAGAACCTTCAAGGTTCAAAATAATCTAGTGACGTGCTTCAGACTGAAGCCTCGAGGGGGCAGGGGGAGAAGGAGATAGAGAAACAAAGATGGAAAGATGCGTGGGTGGGTTCGAACAGGAAAAGAATGGAGAGGGGCCAGGGGAAGAGGAGAGACAGACCGAGACAGAGACAGAGACGGAGAGAGACAAAGAGACACAGAGAGAGGAAGAAGAGAAGGCAAGGGAGCTGGGGGTGGGGAGGAGAGGGGAAGGAGAAGAGGAAAAGAGAGGATGAGAGAGAACATGAAAGAAGAGATGGAGAGGAAGAGAGAGACAGAGAGAAAGGGAAATAAACAGAGAGAAACAGATTTTTGTTTTGTTTCCTGAGCCTCACGCCAGCTCCTCACTCCCACCCCTGCCCCCGCTCTTCACCTCAAACCCACTACGGCACTCACTGTAACTATAGCACAAGGCTTATTAATTCATGCTGCATTTGGGGCAGTTCAGAAGAGAGAGCTTCGGCCGGCAGAGGCCAAATCCAAATGGTTGGAAGGAGATCAGGGATACTTATGGAAGGATTGGGA